CAGGAACAGACCAAGATATTGTGGGGCATGGATGGATTCTTCTGTCAACTTGTCATTCTTCCCAAAGTCTGTATTGCGAGTCAATGCCCTTGTTTTGGGCGCTCCACGTTGGTTTGCCTGCAAACATTTTTTAGTGGAGGATCTTCTTTCTGTATCTCATTCTCTATTTTGTTAAATCTTAAATTCAATCCTGCTCTTAATCTGTGCTTATATTGAATTGGTTTGTGTCTATGGTGAAACTGGATAAACGGATTAAAACGGTAAAATCACAATCACACACGTAGCACAAATGCTTGAGTAGTTCACTCATGAGATATGCAAAACCCAACTCTAAGTTTTGTGTTTTAATGAGACTCTAAGTTGAGGCGCTACTAAAGAAAAGGGAAATTTATATAAATATCACCTGAATTTTTAGGCATATGCATCATTACTACTTAAACTTTTATTTTTTATTATTAACCACCTAAACTTTAGAGTGTGTTGCAATATACCACCTATGTCTTAATTCATTAAACTTTCCGTTAAGTTTAAGGGCAATTCCTTCAATTCACTATAAGTAAAAAACTTAACATTTTTACAATTAACATAATTTATAAATAATAATCCATTAATATATTTTTTCTTTATGAAAGCCTAACCTAAATTATCCCACAGTTTCTCCCATTCCTTCCAACATTAATTTTTCCCCCTTGCCTAGTAGACCCCTCTGCCATCTAAGAGCATCCACAATGGGAGGGTGTATATGGGGGTGTATGTTAAACATACACCCCTTGTCACCAGAATCATCTCCAATGGGGATACGTAAATGGTTGTAAATATGCATCACCATCATAGAGATGTAAAATAAAATGTACATTTACATCTATTTTTACATCTTTTGCAGGTGGGACCCACCTGAGAAAAGAGAAGAAAAATGAAGAAAAGTCAGCGTAAAAGGCTAGAACCCGCGGCTACAGTAATTGCTGGGAAAAAAATTCACATGCGGGGCAATTTTTTGGTTGTCATGTTCCCCCCGATTCTTTTTAGACGAAATCATATCTTCTCCGAATGTAAATATTTTTAGGTCTATTTGTTTGAAAAATAAAAAATTAACCTAATACAAAAAAAAAAAAAAAATTTATAAAGTAAACACAAAATACAAATTTAACATAAAAACGAATTAAGACAAACAATCAATTATACATATTTAGATTTACATCATTTCTCATTGGAGCAAAAAATGTATTTACACCCCCGGAGGTGTAAAGGGGATGTAAAAGTGGCTTTAC